TACCGCAGGCAGCGCCACGAGCAAACATACAAAGCAGTAGCTCTGGCGCGGACATGAGAGACTGTTCGGTGAGCCTCGATTGCAAGCCCAGGTCTTCCAGATGAGACCAGAGAAGATCGGGTCGGAGGATCACGCCGCATCGCCGATGCGTCAGCGATCCGGCGCGACCCAGAGCCGATGCTATCCATCCCGCCATCGCTGATGCCTCCCCAAAGCATTGGCGAGGCCGCGCCATCCTGCGACCCTAGCTGCTCCGGCCCCACTTGGGATGCCTCCATCAAGGGAGCCCTTCCGTCCCCTTGCTTGTTCGGCCCCGCCCTGGTCTGCTCGGCGCCTGGGCCCCCAGAGCTCCCCAGAGCCCTGTGTCCTTGAGGACTCCGAGGGCCCCGGGAGGCCCCTGCAGGCCCGCGGATGACCAACTATCCTGGCGAAGGGCCCAACCACATGCAGTTGTGGGTGCCGCAGTTGTGGATACCTTCTTCGGTGGAGCTCCCTATGGGGCCACGAAGCGCTGCGCTGGAGGGGGGGAACGCGTGCGGGCGGTAGCATTGGGGCCGTCCAGCGGAGCCCCATATGGGCCACGAAACGCTGTTCCTGGGTGGGGGGGGGCGCATGCGGGCGGTAGCACTGGGACCGTCGGTGGATCTCCCTATGGGGCCACGAAGAGCTGCATTAGGCGGGGGGGTGAGCGCATGCGGGCGGTCCCACTGGGGCCTTCTGTGGAGCTCCCTATGGGGCCACGAGACGTTGTATTGGGTGTGGCGGACACATGCGGGCGGTACCATTGGGGCCTTCGGTGGAGCTCCTTATGGCGCCACGAAGCGCTGTACTGTGTGGGGGGGACGCATGCGGGCACCCACTGGGGCCTTCGGTGGGGCTCCCTATGCCCTATGGGGCTACGAAGCATTGTGCTGGGTGGGGGAGACGCATGCGGGCACTCCCACTGGGGCCTTCGGTGGAGCTCCCTATGGGGCCACGAAGCGCTGTACTGGGTGGGGGGGACGCATGCGGGCACCCCCACTGGAGCCTTCGGTGGAGCTCCCTATGGGGCCACGGAGCGCTGCACTGGGTGGGTGGGGGGGGGGGACGCGTGCGGGCACCTCCACTGGGGCCGTCGGCATTAGGCGGGGCGAACGCATGCGGGCCTCCCACTGGGGCCTTCTGTGGAGCTCCCTATCGGGGCCACGAAGCGTTGTACTGGGTGGGGAAGACGCATGCGGGCACCTCCACTGGGGTGTTCGGTGGAGCTCCTTATGGCGCCACGAAGCGCTGTACTGGGTGGAGGGAACGCATGCGGGCACCCACTGGAGCCTTTGGTGGAGCTCTCTATGGGGCCACGAAGCGCTGTACTGGGTGGGGGGGACGCATGCGGGCCCCCCTCCCCAGTGGGGTCTTCGGGGGAGCTCCCTATGGGGCCAAGAAGCGCTGTACTGGGTGGGGGGGACGCGTGCGGGCTCCTCCAGTGGGTCTTCGGTGGAGCTCCCTGTGGGGTCAACGAAGTGCTGTACTGGGTGGGGGGGACGCATGCGGGCACCACTGGGGCCTTCGCTGGAGCTCCCTATGGGGCCACGGAGCGTGTGAGCGGTGTGCCAACGTGAGGGGGTGACGGAGAGGAGGATGAGGAGAAGGAGGAGGGAGGAGGAGGAGGAGGAGGGAGGAGAGGAGGAGGAGGAGGAGGAGGAGGAGGAGGAGGAGGAGGAGGAGGAGGAGGAGACGGGAGAGGATGAGGAGGAGGAGGAGGAGGAGGAGGAGGAGGAGGAGAGAGGAGAGGCGGAAGGCGGGGACCGTCTCGTCAAAACGAGGACGAAGCACCACAGGATGGTTGGGAACACCAGCTTAAACATGTCAAACATGTAGATGTTCGAACCTCGAGGAAGAAGGTACACAATGGAGGAGGAGGTGGAGGATGAGGAGGAGGATGAGGAGGAGGAGGAGGAGGAGGAGGACCAGAGCAACCAAGGATGCATCAACGATGGCATGTCAGGTGTCTCGGGGCCGTTTTGGGTGCGATTGTTCCACCGAGCTCTCCCAAAGAGGTGCCCATCCAGGAAATTCAAAACCTTCGCGACGCTCCTATACACACCCCCGTGGACAGGCTCAGGGAGGTTTGGCCCCCCTGTCTAGGCAATCATGTGTTTTGTTTGTTATGTTTGGAAGGCTGGTTTCCGAAACATGCCCTCAGGGCAGGTTTGATTACAAGGAACAGACTTTCCTGAGAACGGGAGGATGGGCAGGAAGAGTAGGAGGGGAGGTGGCGGAGGAGGAAGAAGGATGTGGGATAAGGGATGATGTGAGAGGGAGGAACGAGGACGGAGGAGGGATGGGGAAGGAGGGGGTAAGGGAAACGCACCCTCCCTCACCGTCCCTCGCCCTTTGGCCTCTGCTCCCGCACTTCCGGGTCTCTCCTCGACAGCACGACTGCACCAGAAGCAGGCGCGCCCACGGCTCGTTCCCGCCACCGCTGCGACGGACGGCCACTGTGATTTGGCAGGGCCGCCCTGCGTGGCCGGCCGCGTCGCGTTATCCGGGAGTGTGCAGCGCCAGGCGTCCCTGGAAGGCCTCTCCTTACCCCAGTTCCCCTTGTTTTTTCCTACAACCTCCTCCTCCGATCGTCCCCCTCCCACCTCATCATGCTCGTCCTCCCGGACCTTCAGTCCTTCTCCTCCTTCCCGTCGCTCGTCCTACTTCTTCCTGCCTCGGCTGCCTCGATACTCCCGTCTTGGAACGCAACGCGTACCGTGCTTCAAACGTCCGTGTCAATACGTTCAGGTTGGCTCATCGTATTGGCCCACGTTTTGGCGAACGTATCGCGTCATGCCTACGTTTTCAGTCTACGTGTTGAGCTGCGTATCAATGCTACGTGCTGCGTGAGGCGCATCGGGGCAGCGACGGTTCCTGCTGCCCATCTCCCCTCCTCCTCCACCCCCGTCCTTCTGCCGTCCTCTGTCTGCCTCCTGCTCTGCTCGAGCTCGGGCAGGCGAGTGCGTGTACGGGGCCCCCCTCAACAGTCATCCGCTCGATGCCCTCATGGACAGCGGCCTCCCTCCATTCGCGCCCAGCCTCGAGTGCCTCGAGCCCGCTGCTGACTTTTGCCTGAAGTCCCCGCCGGCTTCGGGGGAGGAGGTCGGGCCACGCAGAAGCTCCCCGGGCTTGGCGCCGGTCGCCCCTGCCGCCCTGCGCCGCGGGGCGCGGCCACCGGGCCGACCCAGGACGGGCCGGCCAGGCCCATCCCCCGCGGGCGCCGCGGCCCCGAGCAGAGTGCGAGGCGGTTGCCACCAGAGCCGCACTCCCCCTTGCCAGTTGGGGCCGAACGTTGCCGTGCACACCCGAGTGGCAGCTCTCCTGCCTGCAGCACGCACGGCCGAGTGTCGGCCACGCGCAGAGGGGGTCAGGGGGAGGGGGAGGGAGGCTTCCTAGAAGCACCCCCCGCTTCCTAGAGTGCGCGGGCCTTGTCTGTAGGTAGAAGGCCCGCGCCTTCTGAGGAGCAGCCTCCTTCTGAGAAGCCTTCCCCCCTCCCTCTACCCCCCTGTGCGCGCCGGCAAGAAGGTCTCGAGCAGAGGCCACACTCTCGATTCCACTGCTGGCATGCATCCGGCGGGGGCCGTCCTTCCGGCCTCTCAGAGGAATGACGCTGGTGAATCCGAGCGGGTGTTGAAGCCCCGACCAACAGACATCGGCCACAAGGTATTCCGCTGGCGTGAGCCCGCTCCTTGTTGGGCACGTGTTGGCCTGATCGGGGCGCGCGTTTGCCGTTGCGCCACAAGCGCGGTGTCGGATCATGTGGGGTCCTTCCGTTGTGCAGTCACTGGTATGTTACAGTCAGCATGTATAACTCAGGGCAGCCGCAGGCGGTGTTCCGTCTGCAGTGTGTCCAGCTGAGGGCAGCTCGAGCACCGGTTATCAGCGCGCGCTCGGCAGGGCTAGGTGAGCATGAGGGTAGTTATGCTCAGTCGCTTGTCGTCTCCTCTTGATCCGCCTCTCCATCCTCCCCCTCCTGCTCCCCCTGTTGGCTCCCCCTGTCTGCGGCACGTGTCAAAACAGTGCTGGAATGGCACACTGGCACCCGCTCTTGTTCGCATGTCCGTGCGGCAGTGCCGACGGCAGGTCGCCGCGAAACCGTGCGGTGCGCGGCCGCGATTTGTAACCTACGTGTCCAGGGGTCGCCCACAGATGACGGAACTTCGATGTTTGTTGCGTCGCGCATCCGCATCATCCCACCCATACGCGCATCCTAGGCGAACTGTCGTGTCCAGGGGACGTGAAGGAGCAGTCGTGAGACAAAAAGTGGGATCACAATCAGGTGAACTATCATCCGAGGTAGTCCTTACAAGTTTGGCCCAGATGGCAGCATCTCAGAGGCCTTATGGAGCCGTCTTGGAACTGTCTCGACTCTCTTGAGACCGTCCTGGTAACACTCGTTCAAGAAAGAAGGGCCCTATAGGATGGCCCCCTTATAGAAAGACAGGAATTATCCTCTCGGAGCCCTCTTCAGGCTCTCTCGGGGTGCTCGGTGGGTCGTTTGGGGCCCCATCGCGGTCCTCCGGTCTTTCTCGTGGCCCTCTCTCTGGGCACCTCGGGAGGCGAGAGGGGAGGAAGGACTGCCAGTGGTAGGCCTCTGCCCCTGCGATTCCAGGTCTCGCGTCGCCCCCACACGCGCCGACGCCAGGCCTCGCAGCGCAGCCGCGCGCGCGAATGCCGCGCTCCCGCGGCGGACGGCCCTCCTGTGATCTGGCAGAGTTGCCCGCCCCTCGGGCAGCGCGAGCCCGTTGTGTTTCGCAAGGGGCTGTGACCCCGGGAGCACGGGGGGGTGGTGCACGCAGCTGGGCGCTTCCCCGAGGGTGGTGGTGTCCTTCCCCGAGGGTAGGGGAACAACAAGTGACATAGACATAGAAACTCGGAGGTCCGCGCGGATTTCTCGGATCGGCGCTGGGGCCCCCCGGCGGCGCCTCCGGCGCCGCCCCTGGCGCGCTCCGCGTGCCAGGGAGGGGGGTCCAGCGCCG